TAAATTTCTTAGCGTCCAGGAAGAGCATCTCCTTCTATGGCTGTGTACTGCAAATGTTTTTCTTTGCTTGTTTTCCTGATGCGGAGTGCTTTATCCTGGCAGCAATGGCATATGACCGCTATGCAGCCATCTGTAAACCATTGCTCTACTGCACACTGATGTCTAGGAGAGTATGTAACTGCTTCATTGTGTTGACATACTTAGGTGGAACCATGAGTTCAATGGTGCATGTCTGCTTCACATTCAGGCTGCCCATTTGTGGCTCCAATATTGTCAACCATTTTTTCTGTGACATCCCGCCTCTCCTGGCTTTATCATGTGCAGATACCCATATCAACGAGCTTCTGCTCTTTGCCTTGTGTGGCTTCATCCAGACCAGCACTTTTGTGGTCATATTTATCTCTTACTTCTGCATCCTCATCACTGTTTTGAGCATCAAGTCCTCAGGCGGCAGAAGCAAAACATTCTCCACCTGTGCTTCCCATCTCACAGGAGTCACCTTATTCTATGGAGCCCTCCTGTTTACGTACTTACGCCCCACCACCGATTACTCTCCTGACACTGATAAGGTGATTGCATTGTTTTATACTGTTGTCTTTCCCATGTTCAACCCAATAATCTACAGCTTCAGAAACAAGGATGTAAAAAATGCTCTCAAAAAGCTATTAGAAAGAAACCGGATTTTCAAATGAATAAGAGTTTCAATCATTTAAGAATATTCAAGGTCTAGTCTTCCCTTCCAACCTCATTGGCAGCAACTATGCCAGGATCACCTTTTGTGTCTACTAGTTTAACTATATTACCATTTTACAGAAATAAAGACAACTTTTAGACATTGAAACCTTTAAATACTTAACATTCTCTTCCAGAAATTTTCTTCCCAAAATCATTTCACTCTGCAAAATATTATTAGATCTATATTAATAATAATTAGTCTATAATTAGTGTTCCCAAAATACTTCAGAGATTGATGCACTGTATTCTTGATATGTCATATCGAAGGTACTTTCAGACTTGTCAGTCTACTCACCCATAGTAGAAGCTCTTTGGAGGCAGTGTAACATGTACATTGACTTACTTTCCATGCTTCTGTATAGTATCTGATATATTGCATGCTCTCCTCATAGTGTGTTTAAGGGATGGATGGATCGGGATGTTTGGATAGATAGATGGATAGATGGAATAATGAGTGAGTAAATGTAGCCTTCTTTATTTTAGAAAGTTAGTCTAGATTCTGTATGTACAAAACATTTATCAACAGGGGAATTTTGTAGTACCAATAATGGGTGGTAGTGATAGTACTGGTGGCTTTCCTCGCTCTCAGGAAGTCAAACAGAAGATGCAAAGCAATAGTCTTTTTTTTTTTTTCGTTAAATTTTTATTTTGTCAATATACAATGTAT